CAAAAACAACATGTAAGTGGGGAGGGCCTGCTGCCTTTTAGGAGCGGCTGAAGGTGACTTGTCAGTTTAGTAAAATAATTGTGACCCCACACAGAGGGAAAGTGAGAGCCCACTTTTGTAGCCAACAATGAAATCTCAGCCCAGCCCTGGACGTCAGGCTGTGGTGCACTGCTGCCTTCACGTGTGCACAGGTGCACAGGGAAACCAGGCAGGAGTTTCTTCCCAATGTGGTCACATAGAAACTACCTCATAAACTGCAAAATCTAGGTTAGTGGGTTTTTTTAAAAAATCTGTTCATTTCCCTTCTGCCCCCAATATGGATGGAGAGAAATAAGGAGAAAGGTGAGATGGGAAGGGATGTTGAAAGCTGACAGTGCTTCGTAATGTTTCCAAATTAGGGTCCAGCTTGTAATGAAATGAAATACAAAACTTTGTAGAACAATCTCAAGTGAAAATAAGGATTCTGCCTGTCACACTGTGCAGCTCCATTACTGTGGCAGGCAGGTACACATTAGTAATTATCTTCAGTAGATTGGTTGCAACCTTAGCCTATTGGCTCCATGCAATTTGGTGCAGTCTGTTTACCCATTCGACTTCCAATTCATTCACTCATTCTTCTGCCAAGAGCTTTCCCTGAGGTTTGGTGTCAGAATTGCAGAGCGTGCCTGGGAAAAGAGGAGAGGGGCAGGGAGGTTTCTCTGTATTTCAGTCTAGGCAAGCGGGGCTGATCCATGAGCTCTTTGCCCTCCATGCTAGAGGGGCGCCTTCTGATGGATGAAGAAGTGAGAAACTACTCAGCTCCAAGCTTCTCACCCGAACGCTGGTGGGAAACCATGATCGGCCTCGCTGACCAGCTTACCTGGCGGGGGCGGGGAGGAAATTCTCACTTCTTTCCTTTCCTCTCTTTCTCTTCAACAGTCACTTTAAAGTTCTAGAAGGGTTTTAGGTGGAGCACAGGAGGACATGGGACAACTTACGCTACCTGGCACAGTCAACAGGCAAACCCAAATGCTCTGCCCAGGCTGGGCACCAAGTTAGGAAACATCTAACTTTTTAAATCATTAAATCAACACTCTTAGCATTTATGATAAAGAAATTCTTACTTGTAATCATTCACAGTTGGCTGGATGGGAAACCATAATGCTACCCAAACTGTGTTAGCGGAACTGAGAGGCCCGGATGACTGTGAGAACTCCAAGCACACAGCTTGTGGGGAAGGCAGGGTGGTCACCTGGGGGTGGTCAGCTGGCCACAACCATGTTTCCACAGAGAGGAATTCCCTCGGGAATTCACCACCATCAGAAATCTGGCGCTCAGCCTTACATAGTGAAGAACCAGGTCCTGCAAGTGTATCAGAGCTGACTGGTCAAAGGCCCTGACTCCCATTAACCAAATGCACAAAAGCCTGATGTACAAAACTCCCAAAGGCCAATTCATTCTTCACAATAACAACTAGTTATACATTTCAAAGGGTCATACAGTGGTGAAAATTCTCTGCCTGTGTAAGAAAATTACATGAGACTCCAAATTCTTAGACCTGCCCTGTACACTTCAGTAGCTGCTAATGACAGGTTAGCACTTGAAACATGGCTAGTCCCAATCAGATGTGTCATAAGCGTAAATGAAACGCCAGATTTCAAAGATTTTTAAATGTAAAATACCTCATTAATAGTTTTATATTGATCACATATTGAAATAGTTGACATTTTAGATATATTGAATTAAATAAAATACATTGCAAAAATTAAGTTCACCTGTTTTTTGTTTTTTTACTTTTCTAAATGTGACTACCAGAAAATGTAAAAGTGCCTACACAGCTCTCATTTGCAGCTTGCATTGTATTGCATTTTGGGGAAGTGCTGTCTTAGGCAGAGCCATGGCCAGCCTAGAATCTGGGCGGGGCTGAGAACTTTTTTAAAAAATTATTCAAATGTTTGATGGCATCAGGCTTTTCCCCTATGCTTCAGAGGCTGATTACCCCTTCTGCTTGACAAAATTGGTTTCTAAGGATGTGAAAGATGTTGAAACTGAAAGGCCAGCTTACAGACTTGGAGAGTTACTCCAGCTCCTTACTCTGACCCACTGCGTGTTACAGGGCAGGTCTGAGAGGGGTGCCTGGCTGTGGCCCTTTAATGACTGACAGACACCACCCACCAGGCAGCTGCCAGCCCAAATGCCTTCGGTCTTCAGGCCACACTCCATCAGAACCTCAGGTGGATGGGCTGTGGTCACCCTCAGCCTGGAAGCCAGCCAGGAAGGGGTGGAACCCATATCATTCCCACCTTCCTCACCGCTCATGTTTTATACAAAAGAAAACTGATTGCAAAGACCATCTTCATGGAGGAAAAAGCAGGCAGGAGCTCACCCTCAGGACAGGGGCAGCCAGCAGCCCCTGGAGAAGGAAGCGTGTGGGTGCTGATGTCCCCGGGGACGGATGCTGGCTGCCCACATGCAAGCCCAGAGCACCAGCCACTTCAGACACTGCAGCAGTGCCCCTTCCAGACAGATGGTCTTGGCCCTCCAGAGGTTGGAGTCCTGGACTGGAGGCTACGAATCTGGAGGCTCAGTGACTTAAAGCAATGAAGGCCTACCAGAAAAAATAAGGTTTTTATTCTATATACCAAAGAAAGTTTATGAGAGCACTTATCCATAAAATAGATCCATGGTCTGAAAACTGTGGCTCAAGAGCCACATGCCGCTCTTTGGCCCCTTGAGTGTGGCTCTTCCACAAAATACCACGTGCAGGCGCGCGTACAGTGCGATTGAAACTTCGTGGCCCATGCGCAGAAGTCAGTTTTTGGCCTGGGCCAGTCTATTTTGAAGAAGTGCTGTTGATATTTGGCTCTGTTGACTAATGAGTTTGCTGACCACTGAAATAGATGAATACAATGGTTAAGGTCACAGCCAGGTAGCCCTCATATCCACCATCAGGTACCCCCAGCCCCTAGTTCCCCCAGATTTCCCTGCAATGCTGACATGCAGCAAGCAAGTCACAGGACCCTGAAATGGGTTATTTTCTTAAGAGAAGGATTCACTGTTTCTCTGTAGGTTTTCTTTTCGTTGCCTGTTGACCTGTGAATAGTGCAGATGTTCATTGGCCTTACGTGGGATCCAATGGAGGAGTCTAGGGAACTAGGCTTGAGCAAAGGAAGCAGGCTTGCCTAGGCTGGTGCGCCTGAGTCTATGAAGGGCCTCACTACCCAGAGTTTGGCCACAGAAACTTCCCGTCTGCCAACTCCGGCCTCCACCACTCTGGCAGCATCTTAATAAACAATTTTTTTCTGAACACCTTTCAGAAAATGCTGTCCTAGAGGTTGTAAATCTATTCTCCTAAGAGGGACACAGTTCCACTTAGTGAATAGAGGGCAGCGTTCTCTCGTTTCTTCTCACCCTTCCTCTGAAGACAAGACATTTCTACTTCCGCTCAAGGTCATGGGAATATCCGAGATCAGAAACGGAACTACCAGGCCAATGATTTCT